CTCATTTTTGTCTTTTTAATTCAGATATTGTGGAGATATGGCCCCAAGGGTCATATCTCAACAATCTGGCCTACCCTCCCTCATTCTAAGGAGGGATGAGGTCATCATTAGGACCTGCCAGTCCCTACTGCAGCAGTCCCAATAGGCCGGCACATTCTCCTCCACCTTTTTCTCCCGTTTTGTCTCATTCACCCTCCATTTTCTTCCCTTTTTCTTTTCTTTTTCTTTTAATTTTGCTGTGACAAGTGTCCAACAGTTGTGCACCCTTTTTTTAGGCCTGACATCCTCAATCATGGCCAGGTTCATGGCCGGCTGTTGGCCGTTTCATCCTGGACTACAATAATGGCATCCCCATGCTCCTAGGGGTCCGATTTTGAGCCCCCTTTGTTCCGATTTTCTATGGCAGCCTGTTATCTCATGTTGGGCCTCTTGGAGCTTCATTTTCAAATGCCTGGCTAGTCCAAAATATCTCGGACTGCTAGGCTGCCCTCCCAACTCCCGTTTTTCTTTTCTTTTACCGCTAATCCTTCTTGTTTGGGCTCCACTAGTGCTTGCACTAGTGGTGCTAATATTTTCCACTTTCAAGATCTCCGATCTCGACGGTACCATTGGCCTCGCGCAACCACTCCCCTTATTGGCGTGTGGTTGTTCCTTGGTACATCTCAAGTCCCCGCCGTTCTCCCGTACTATTCCCATTTTTATTTTTATTTTTTTCCCACCGGTGGTGCCGCCGGTGTGCGTCCCATTTTCCGACTTTTATTATTTGGGCCCACTTAGTCCCCGACAACATCCCGGGCGGCGTCCCATTTTTATTTTTGGACCCCCCTTGTCCCCAACAGTCCCAATATCTCTTCCTTGGGTGCCGCGTGTGTGCCGATTTTTCTTGGCCGTGAGATCTCATCTCGCGGTTGCCGTTTACCATCTTCCACTTGCCCTATACCGAAATCACATTTTTTTAGCCTTTTGGGCTTGTCGTGGCTCATTTCCCTTAGCCTAGCCATCCTTATGCAGTCCGTTATTTCTTGGACTGCATACATGGTTATTTTCCTAGTCCCACACCCCCATAATTTGCCCCATGCTAAAAAAGAAATGAATCGTTTGATTTCCAAGTGCATCCGAGCTCAATATTGACTCCGGATGCACCAAAAACATGTGTTGGTGTCCCCTATGCAGTCCGTTGCAACTCAGACTGCAATAGGGGCCAATTTCCTAGCCCCAGTGCCCCACAACTAGCCTCCAATTGAAAGAAAAAGAAACGGCCAACTTCCAAGTGTGTTCGGTCCTCATTTTGACTCCCGGTGCACCTAAAACATGTGTTTGGCCTCTCCCATGTAATCCTTTATTTTTCGGTTGCATGAGGCCTTGGTTTTCTTAATTTTTTTTTGCAAAATCAAACCAAGATACTTTGTAACCGATATATGCCAGAATGAATCTGGTCACAAAAGTATCCCCTAGGTGGCCGTTTTTGGATGTTAGTCTAGGGCGAAATCCCTGGCGTTCGGGTGCCGATACCACGTCCGGTTTGACGACCGGGCGACCGGCCGGCCGGAACACCCGGTCGGGCCCCCGGACCTGAAATGCGCCGACCCTCGAATTTTTTTTTTTTTCGATTTCGGGCTTTGGGGGGTCGAAGCTGCCTCGCAGTACCCTGCGCCGCCAAAAAAAAAAAAATTCCAGTACCTACCGGGTGCTGGAGCAGTTTCAAATCGAGCGATTTCTGGCCATCGATCTTGAAGATCGACGGCCAGAAATCGCCCGATTTGAAACTGTTTCCCCGCGCGATTTCGCATACGGGCAGATCCTGAATGCCCCCGCGAAATCGAGCAGGCGAAGTGTGTGCTTCGACTCGAGCACATCGTCGTCGTGCCCTTCGGCCGTGCCCTTCCGCAGCCCGCCATCGCCTTCCTGCAGCCCGCAAGGTAAGTCATCCTTTTCTTCTTCTTCTTCTTCTTCTTCTTCTTCTTCTTCTTCTTCTTCTTCTTGGTCATCATCGTCGTCGTGTGTGTGTGTGTGTGTGTGTGTGTGTGTGTGTGTGTGAGAGAGAGAGAGAGAGAGAGCACCTCCTCGCTGCCCGTTCGGACGAGCTACCGTTCGGCCAACGGCACCCCCTCTCCCTCCTCCTCCTCCTTCTCGTTCTTCATCTTCTTCGTCACACCTTCTTCTACTTCTTCATCATTCCTTTTTCTTCTTCTTCACATATCTTCTTCTTCTACTTCTTCTTCGTCTTTCTTTCTTTCTTCTTCTTCTTCTTCTTCTTTTTCTTCTTCTCTCCCCCTCCCCCCTATCTCGACTTCCCCCACTTTCCCCTGCTGCTCCACGATCCCGTTTCCGCCCTCTCCTCCCCACTCCCCCTACCGACCCCAACCCAATCTCTCCCCCCCCCCCCCCCCCCCCCCCCCCCAATCCCGATCACGGCTTTGCTCGCTTCCCATTCCCACCCCACCCGACCTCGACGACTTCTTTTCCCGCCCCAATTCCGCTCCCGATCCTGACTGTTCCTTTCTTCTTC